CTGGGACACCGGTCTCTTTAAGTCAGAAGCGTAAGCCTGGCTCCTCTCCTTCCTCTTCCCCGACGGGTAAGAAGGCTTCGCTTTCTTCCTCAGCTCCTCCTTCTGGCTCTGTTGCTCCTTCCCCTCCCGTTTCAGTGCTTGCGCCCCCTGCTATGGAGGTTTCTTTGGCCCCTGCTTCCCTTTCGGTTGCTGCTCTTGCTGGGGTGCGCTCCCCTCTTTCTACTCCCCCTCTTCCTGCTGCTGTCCTTGACTGCTCCTCTCCGTTGTCTCCTCCTCTTCCTCCTCCGGACCCCGCCCGCCCACCTCTGATCTGTTCTCCCGTTTCCTTCCCTCCGTCTTTGCTCAGTTTACCCATGCCCCCTAACCCTGACTTTGCTGACCCTGATTCCGACCCTGATATTCTTTAACGTGCTCTGTTGCTCTTTCGCCTTTGTTTCTTCCTTGTTCTCTGTTTTTGTCCTTTCTCTTCTCGTCGTTGTCCATTCTTCAATGGAACGTTCGAGGTTATTACGCCAATTTCCTCGAACTCCAACTTCTGATTTCGCGGTTTTCGCCCCTTTGTGTCTGTCTCCAGGAGCCAATGCTTGGTGCTCGTCCTGGTCGTTTTCGTGGCTATTCCTTTCTCTCCCCCCCCCAGCCATTGCTGGGGCTTCTAATTCTTCTGCTCTCTTGATTCGGGCTGATGTTCCCTTTGTTCCTTTACTTTTTCCTTCGCCTCTCCATTGTTCTGCTGCTCGTATCTTTGTGGGGAAATGGTACACAGTTTGTTCCATTTATCTCCCCCTGAGTGTCCCGCTCTCTCTTCCTGATTTGAAACACCTCCTAGACTCCTTGCCGGAGCCTGTGCTCCTGCTGGGTGACTTCAATTGTCATCATTCTCTTTGGGGTGACGTTCTGACGAATACCCGGGGTCGCCTCCTTGAGCCGTTTCTCCTCTCTTCTTCCCTGTCTCTTCTGAATTCTGGTGAGCCCACTCGTTTGGACTCTCGGACTCGCACCCTTTCTTGTCTTGATCTTTCTCTCTGCTCTTTTTCGCTTTACTTAGATTTCACGTGGCAGGTTCTTGATGACCTCCATGGAAGTGATCATTTCCCCATCCTTGTTTCCTTTTTCTCTTTTCGCCCTTCCCTCTCTTTCCCTAGGTGGCAGTTTGCTAAGGCAGACTGGACCCTATTTACCCTCAGTGCTGCTCTCTCTGACCTCTCCCTTCTGCCTCTCTCTCGCGCTCTCCTCCTTTTTCATGACACTGTCTTCAACGCTGCCCTCCGCTCTATTCCTCGCTCTTCCTCTCGGGGTCCGGAAGTGCGTTCCCTGGTGGAATGCGGACTGTGCTCGGGCTGTCCGCTGTAAGCGTGCAGCCTGGAAGAGGCACCGCCGTAGGCAGACGACCGATTCTTTTCTTTTCTTTCGGAAAGCGAGTGCGGTGGCCCGTAGGACCATCCGTACGGCTAAACGTGAATGTTGGGCATCTTATGTCTCAACAATTACGTCCGAGACCCCTCTGGCCCAGAACTGGAAGCGTATCCGCAAGATAGCGGGTAAGTTCGTTCCCGATGTTTCACCGGTCCTTCACCTCCGTGATACTCTTGTGGCGGACCCGTTGCAGGTCGCTTCCGAACTGGGTTCCCACTTTTCTTCTGTTAGCTCTGGTCTTCATCTTCCCCAATCTTTCCTTCTTCGTAAACCTGTCCTTGAGTCTCGTCCTTTAGATTTCTGCACTCATCTTCAGCTTCCCTATAATGATCCCTTCTCTCTCTCTGAACTTCGTTCTGCCCTGGCCCTCTGCGGTTCTACGGCGGCGGGCTCCGATGGTATTCATTATGAGATGCTTCGCCATCTCCCTCCGAGCACGTCTCAGTATTTACTGAGTCTGTATAATCGGATCTGGGAGTCGTTGTCAGTCCCTGAGGACTGGCTCGATGCCGTTGTCCTCCCTGTTCGCAAACCGGGGTCTCTGGGTACTTCCCCTAAGGACTTTTGCCCTATTGCTCTCACAAGTTGTGTCTGCAAACTCTTTGAACGTATGGTTAACGTTCGTCTGATGTGGTTCCTGGAACACCATCACCTCCTCTCCCCTTCTCAATTTTGTTTCCGCATGTGCCGCAGCACGACAGATGTCCTGGTGAACTTGGAGGTCTATATTCGTACTGCTTTTGCTGCGAAGACCTCCGTTGTTGCCGTCCTTTTTGACCTAGAAAAGGCTTACGACACCACTTGGCGTTATCATATCCAATCTCAACTTCATTCTTTTGGCCTTCGTGGTCATCTCCCTCTCTTTCTCCGCAGCTTCCTCTCTCGTCGTTCCTTTCGGGTGCGCCTTGGTACCGCTCTCTCTCCCTCTTTTCAGCAATACGAAGGTGTGCCCCAGGGTAGTGTTCTGAGCACTACTCTTTTTCTGGTTGCCCTCAATGGTCTTCTTTCCTCTCTTCCTTCTGGTGTCTTCTCCGCTCTCTATGTCGATGATCTTACCCTTTGTTGTCAGGGTGATGATTCACCTCTCCTTCAACGCCGGCTTCAACTTGCAATTGATGCCGTGTCGTCTTGGGCCACAGGTCATGGCTTCAAGTTCTCTACTTCTAAGACTTGTGCCATGACTTTTACGCGGAAACGGGTTGTTCTTCGTCCCTCTTTGTCACTTTATGGTCATCCCCTTGAATACAAAGATTCCGCGAAGCTTTTGGGGTTATTCCTTGACACTCGTTTGTCTTGGTCTCCCCATATCTCTTACCTCCGTGTTGAGTGCTCTAAGGCCCTTACCCTCCTTCGGGTCTTGTCCCATACTTCTTGGGGGGCAGATAGGCGCACTCTCCTTGCTTTACATTCCTCTCTCGTCCTGTCTAAGCTCGATTATGGTTGCCCTGCTTACTCGTCTGCTTCTCCTTCTACTCTTCGCCGTCTTGATGCTTTGCACCATACTAGGTTGCGCCTCAGTTCTGGTGCCTTTCGTTCGACTCCCATCCTTAGCTTGTATGTTGACACTGGCTTCCTGTCTCTCCAGGACCGCCGTGATCGCTACTGTCTTCGCTATCTTGCGCGGTCCTTGCAACACCCTTCCTCTCGCCTCTGTCGTGCTTTACCTTTTACCCCTCCTGCGGTTCCTGTTCCTCTTCACCGCCTCCCTCTTTCTGTCCGGTTATCTCGCCTACAGGATTGTCTCTCCGTTCGTATTTCTGATGTTTCTCCTCGTGTTGTTCCTTCTTTGCCCCCGTGGAGGGTCCCTCTTCCGCGGTTTTGTACTTCCTTGACCCGTATCACTAAAGCTTTTACCCCTCCTACGGTTCTAAAACGCCTTTTCCTCGAGCACTTTTCTTCTCACTCCCGCTCCATTTCTGTCTTCACCGATGGGTCTAAGTCAGCGGACGGTGTTGGCTACTCTGTTGTTTTTCCTGATCGCACTTATATGTGTCGCTTGCCTCCGGAGACTAGCATCTTTACAGCGGAACTTTATGCTATTCTCTATGCTCTTCGTCTCCTGCTTTCTCGTTGTCAGTCTTCCTTTGTGGTTGTTGTTGACTCTCGTAGTGCCCTCATGGCTCTCGGGTCCTTTAATCCGGTCCATCCAGTAGTTGTCGAGATCCAGCATTGGCTGTTTCTCGTTCACAGTAAATTTAAGTCGGTTGAGTTTTGTTGGGTTCCCAGCCATATTGGTGTGTCTTTAAATGAGCGTGCGGATGCTGCCGCTAAGGAAGCTGTCCGCTCTTGTCCCATCTCTCGTAAAGGCATTCCGTATTCCGACTTTTACCCGGTTATCCATTCCTCAGTCCTTACCCGTTGGCAGGCTTCTTGGTTGTCTGTTACTGGTAACAAGCTACGTACTCTTAAATGTTGTGTTTCCTCGTGGCCGTCCTCCTTCCACCGTAACCGGCGGTGGGAAACAGCTCTGGCGAGGTTGCGTATTGGCCATACTCGCTTAACCCATGGTCACTTGATGGAGCGCCGCCCTGCTCCTTATTGTTCTAGTTGCATTGTCCCTCTTACGGTCGTGCATGTCCTTCTTGAATGTCCTGACTTCCAGGACGAGCGTGTGTCTTGCTTTCCGACCGCCCCTCGCGGTTACCTGTCCCTCGATAGAATTCTTGGTGACTCGGATACTTTTGATATCATTCGCCTTATGCGTTTTTGTTCTCGTATTGGCATCCTTGGTGATATTTAGCGCCCTCTGATTATTTTGCGTATTTGATGGTGCTACATAGCCTTCCCGGTTTGGTGCCTTCTTTTGATAATTACTTACTTGTTTTACCCTCACCTATTTTTCAAATTCACTACACCTTTATGTATCTTGGATCCCCACTCACAGCAATCTACCTATTCTACAATATTTAGGAATTTGAAATATCCTGGAGCTCCTCTGATGCAGGTGTTGTCTCTGATTGTAACCCCTGATGTGTGTGATCAGGGGTTACAGGATGAAAATGTGTTGGGGATAGGATGCATTTATCGAGCTCTTCCTGGTCCAACTACTGTACTGACATTTTCCAGGATGCAACCCACAACTATTGTCAAACTCCTGGCTACCTATTCATTGCTAGGAAAAAAGAGCCACTAGACAAAAGAAAATGTAATTACCGTAGTGTAGTTACCATAGTGTAGTTACAGGATGAGAGCTACACTCGTGGTGTTCCGTCTTCCCAGTATTCTTTTGTCATATAACGCTTTGAAATTACTGACTGTTTTGGCCTCCACTAAAAAGTGAGCACAACCATTTCAGTCCTGCCCAGAAATTGAACCCAGATCCCTGTGCTGTGTGTACTGGATTACACCACTGTACTACAGGACCCTGTCTGTCTAGGATTCTGGGTGTCTATTTTTTTCCCCCTTTAGCTTTGAAAAATTTACTGTCATGAATAATAAATAAATATCGTTACAAATACTTAACAGTTAGGCAAATGAATATATAGAGTAACAATTTCAGTGGCAAGTCAGATCTATAGTCAACTTGCAGTATGGTAATTATTTATGCTATTATAGTTTCAGTGAAGTTTTGATGTTTTCTTTTGCAGTTCTTCCTTACATCAGAAGAATTGTCCTTGCAGTGCCAGCATCCTATGCCACATATAGCATGTAAGTTAGCAGAAACACTGCATATATATCAAGCAGTGTCAGCAGTATCATAAAGCACAGGCGTCAGAAATACTACATACAGTATGTATATACAATCCTGACCCACTACTTGTACACCCTCATTAGCCTGTGGATGCTAGTTTATTCATTCAAATGTTTACATGTGCACCATTTATCTTAATTATTTATTGTACATTATCAGTATCTATTGAACTAACATTCTCCATTAGTTCATGTTATTTAAGGCAAAGGGAATTGTGAAATTGTTTTTAATTACTTTAAATTCCTAAGTATTGCTTAATTGTTTGGTGTATACGAGTATCCAAATGTTCAACACTTGGAAAGGCAGGTATTTGCTAACCATTTTTTAGAAGAAACAAACAAGTTTTAATATTTGCTAGATCATATACACAATTGGCCCAAATCTGATACACTGTGCTACAAGAGTGCCATGTTTAGAGAATGTAGGCTCAGCATTTTGTGCACACTTACACTTGAGTAATTATTTCTCATTTCTCCATTGGAATTATTCCTTCATAAACTTGTGCACAAATGCATTGATAATTGATAATTATCAATACATTTGATAATTATTTATTCTTCCATAACATTTTCCTGTATTGAAAGTCTGGTGATTTTTAAACTCGTGGTTTTAAAAGAATAGAATTATTTATCAAAATTAATTATATGCACTGCTTGAACATCATTGCAGACAAGCAATAAATTTCTTCAAAAAATAATTATAATAATAAGTTACATGTCCTATATGTTCCTCTTACTGATATAAGATCATATGAGCAGTAATTGTAGTTAAAAAGGTAAAAACGTGAATAGAATTTAAGTATAACTGCATCCACTCAACAAACCATTTAGTCCTAAAATATTTTAATATAAATATTATCCAGCTTAATATAAGCGGATTGCAGTGAATGGAAATTTGTGTTTAGTTTCCTAAATATGAAAAAAATAGCATGTAGAAAACTTGACTTAGGAGTTTAAATAAAACAAAATTTAAAATTTAATATAACATTCTCACAAAATACTTTTAAGGGTATCTTGTGGAAATTCTCAGGAAAGACAATCCAAAATACAAAAGGCTATTTATAGAAGAGAAAATTGTGTTTTTATTGTTAAAAGTTTTCTATTGTTAACATTAGAAGTAAGTATATAAATTTAGCACAGAAATTAAACCATATATTTTTACTTATCTTTCAAAGCCTTCAAGGATTGCTACCATCACTGTACAATCTCTGACTAGGAACAACAACAGAAAATACATCACTGAAGTAGTGCAAATGGGACAAGCAGCCATATTATTGCTCATTGTATATAAAGAGCATTAGTAAAACCTAACTATTTCTTCACATTAGAAATCACAACTGAAAACTAAAGTGCTTGATTTGTGTACAACTGTATGTAGATAATTGAACAAATAATTAACAATGATAATTCATGCAATAAGGAAGCCATATCAGTGTTCAGAGTGTCTAAAAGACTATGCTCATAAATCAGGTTTAATATCACACATGAAAACTCACACCAGGGAAAAACCATATCAATGTTCAGTGTGCCTAAAAGAGTTTGTCCAGAATACACATTTAGTATCTCACATGAGAGCTCACACTGGAGAAAAGCCGTATCGTTGTTCAGTGTGTCGAAAAGACTTTACACAAAAATCTTATCTAGTATTACACATGAGAACTCATACAGGAGAGAAACCATATCAGTGTTCAGAGTGTCTAAAAAACTTTTCTCAAAAATCTCATCTAGTATCACACATGAGAAGTCACACAGGAGAAAAACCTTATCATTGTTCAGAGTGTCTAAAAGGTTTTGCACAGAAATCTGGACTAATAACACATATAAAAACTCACACAGGAGAAAAACCACATCAGTGTTCAGTATGTTTAAAAGACTTTTCAAAAAAAGATCACCTGACATCTCATATGAGAATTCACACTAGAGAAAAACCCTTTCCCTGTTCAATGTGCATAAAAGTATTTTCATTAAAAGGTGCTCTAGCAATACATATGAGAACTCATACAGGAGAGAAGCCATATAAGTGTTCAATATGCCTCAAAGGATTCTCACACAATGGTAATTTAGTAACACATATGCGAATTCATACTGGAGAGAAACCATATCAGTGTTCAATGTGTGTGAAAAACTTTTCACGAAAGTTTCATCTAATATCACACATGAGAACTCATACAGGAGAGAAACCATATCAGTGTTCAGAGTGTCTAAAAGATTTTTCACAAAAATTTCATCTAATGTTACATATGAGAACACACACAGGAGAGAAACCATTTCGATGCTCAGTATGCCAAAAAGACTTTTCTCAAAAAGGCGACTTAGTTGCACATATTAAAACTCATGCAGAAGAGAAACCATATCAGTGTTCATTGTGTCTTAAAGCATTTTCTTATAAGTCTAGTTTAGTATCACATATGAAAACCCACAAAGGAGAGAAACAGAATAAGTGAACTTTCTATGTAACATAATTATCTGATAAATATTTCATAAGATTTTATATTAATATCCAGTTACTACAGTTTTTTTTTCATAAATTTAGTCTAGCAAAAGAAATGAGAAATATAGCAGGAATTATATAAAAGTAATTAGTATATGTAAATTGTATTAAAATTCTACTCTAGTTCCACTCTGACCAGGAGACCTGGTCAAGGACTGGACTGTGGGGACATTGAGCCCCGAAATCAACGCAAGATAAGGTAATTACACAGAAGACAGCATACAGAACTTTAGTGTCTAAATATTTTAACCCTTCCAGTGCATAAATCATATATATAGGATTTTGGCCTGACTGCAGTGCACATATCACACACACACACACACACATACATATATATATATATATATATATATATATATATATATATATATATATATATATATATATATATATATATATATATGTCGTACCTAGTAGCCAGAACGCACTTCTGAGCCTACTATGCAAGGCCCAATTTGCCTAATAAGCCAAGTTTTCCTGAATTAATATATTTTCTCTAATTTTTTTCTTACGAAATGATAAAGCTACCCATTTCATTATGTATGAGGTCAATTTTATTTTATTGGAGTTAAAATTAACGTAGATATATGACCGAACCTAACCAGCCCTACCTAACCTAACCTAACCTATCTTTATAGGTTAGGTTAGGTTAGGTACCCGAAAAAGTTAGGTTAGGTCAGGTTAGGTAGGTTAGGTAGTCGAAAAACAATTAATTCATGAAAACTTGGCTTATTAGGCAAATCGGGCCTTGCATAGTAGGCTCAGAAGTGCGTTCTGGCTACTAGGTACGACATATATATATATACATATATATGCCTAAGGCACAACTTTCCTAAACACGAGAGTGAAGTATACAACTTTAGAACACTTTCCCACCAGGAGACTCGAACCCTAGCCAGCACAGAAGCCTTCCAGCAACCGGCATAACAGGTACGCCTTAACCCGCTCCACCACCTGCTCAGACCCTTAAAAGAGATGGTAATTTCGGAGTATTTAAATACACCAAAGATCACCACCTCCCAAGAGCACTAGAGCAAGTGAGGGGTCATTTATACGTTTATTTCATCAAGTCCCTGTTAATATGGGAAGACACAGTGTCTATGCTTAAGGCACAACTCTCCTAAACACGAGAGTGAAGTATACAACTTTAGAACAACTTTTTGTTCTAAAGTTGTATACTTCACTCTCGTCTTGGAATCCTGATGTCTGCTGAGACAGTTTAAGTGAAAGTGATTGTGCTGTTTAGTGTGTCTGCTGTAGTCAGTCCAGGTCTCACTGACGTAGAGAAGGGTGGTTAGTACCACTGCATGGTAAACCTTCAGTTTGGTGGTGAGGCTGAGACCACTCCGCTCCCAAACATTCTCACGGAATCTTCCAAAGGTAGCGCTGGCCTTGGCGATCCTGTTGACTTCTGTGTCTATGTTCTCTGCTCTTAAGAGTATGGTGCCAAGATAGGTGAAGGTGTCAACTGCCTGCAGGTTCTGCCCCTTAACACTGATGTGTGGTTCCTGGTAGGGTATTCCAGGCGTGGGTTGGTACATGACTTCAGTCTTTTTAGTGCTGATGACGAGACCGAAGTTGTCGCAGGCTTGTAAGAAGCAGTCCACTTCGTGCTGTATCATTTGCTCTGTGCTGGCATTGAGGGATTAGTCATCAATTAACAGGAAGTCTCTTATGACAGTTTCCTTAATTTTTTAATGGCCTGCAGACACCTGAGGTTGAACAGCCCACCATCAATCTTGTATCTGATGGGTATTCCATCCTGGCAATCGTGGAAGGAATCAGTGAGCATGGCCGAGAATACCATGCTGAAAAGTGTTGGGGCGAGAATGCATCCTTGCTTTACACTGTTCATCACCAGGATGATTTTTGACTCATCTCCATCATCCATTACAGTACTCATGCCATTGTGGAACTGCCAGACAATCGCAGTTAATTTGCTGGAACAGCCAAACTTCTCTATTATCATCCACAAACCATCTCTGCTGATTGTATTGAAGCCCTTGGTCAGGTCGATGAAAGTCCCGAAGAGGTTGCTATGTTGCTCTTGGCATTTTTGTGGCGCTGTCATGCAGCAAATATCATATCGACAGTTCTGCGTTTTTCACAGAAGCTACATTGACTTTCCAGGGTGGACGCCCTGCTCAAGATGTTGAAGGGGCGGGTGAGCATGATATTGAGCCAGGATCTTCCCAGTGATGGACTGCAGTGAAATACTCTGGTGATTATCACAAGACTGCCGGTTGCCTTTCCTCTTGTAGATGTGAACTATGCTGGCATCTTTTAACTGTTGTGGGACCACGCCATCATTCCAAATGGACAGGAAGAGCTTTGTCAGTTTCTGCATCATGTCTGGTCATTCTGGTGTGCATGGAACTGGTGATGTTTTTTTTGCAGCAATACCTGAATCTCTTCATTGTTTTCGTCGAACCAGTCCTGGTTTCTGTGGGTTGCTGGTTCGAGGTGCTCAAAGGCAGTAGAGTAGACTGAATCTCTGAAGGCTGCCCACCTCACTTCGGTGCTGTCCTGGCCATTCTGAGGTGTAGCATCCTGCCTTCTAGGTTGATGGAGAATCCTTCAATAATACAGTTCAGCCACATTTACTCAAACTGTAAACTGTATATACAATTTGAGTAAATGTCGCTGAATGGCGCACATCGTATATATATGCAATTGAGGGTGCCACGCATGATTTAAATGTCCCGTGGCTACACGGGGTTCACATTAGCTTCCTCAGGGCTCTAGTAAACAGATGCCATTTAAAAAAATATCATGGGTAACAGTCCTGGGTGTGAGACCCTCAGTACTGAGTGAGCAACCAAGTCTGGTGCATGCAGCATGAGCTAACATTACTGCTGTTCAGCTTGTGACCACAGCATCACCAAAAAATGTCAAAATATACAGTGGCACCTCGACATACAATTGCCCCTACTTACGATAATTTCGAGTTACGATATAAATTTCATCGAAAAATGTGACTCGACATTCGATGGTGTCGTCGACATCCGATATTTGTTGGTACACGTTCGGGTCGACCGAGCGCGTGGTTCCCGGTCACGTGGCCGACCTGCCTCAGTTTACTACAGTTGCCCGCTAAGTGACGATCGCGCCTATAAGAAATTCCGCTTTTGTGGTGATTTTTTGCATTTTGAACATTAAAGTAATTATTATATATCACGCCATGAGTCCCAGGAAAGTCGGTGGTAAGGCTCAACATATGAGATCCCATGTAAGAATGACCATAGAGAAGAAACAAGAGATCATTCATAAATACGAAGATGGTGTGCCGGTAGGTGAACTGACTAGGTAGTACAACAAATCTCAGTCAACGATATCCACCATACTTGGTAAGAAAAGGGACATTATGAGTGCTAAAGTGGCAAAAGGCGTATCAATAATCACGAAACATAGAACACAAACACTTGAGGATGTAGAACAGTTATTATTAATTTGGATACACAACAAGGAGTTAGCGGGTGATAGCGTTTCGGAGGCCATCATTTGTAAAAAGGCAAGAAAATTGCATGAAGAATTTTTAAAGAAAACCCCTGGAACGAGTGATGCAGAAGTGAAAGAGTTTAAGGCGAGCAGGGGATGGTTTGAGAAATTTTGAAAAAGAAGTGGAATTCATAGTGTTGTGAAGCATGGGGAGGCTGCCAGCGCAGACAAACCAGTGGCTGAAAGATTTATTGGCGAATATAAAGATTTTGTGCAGAGTGAGGCATACCTACCACAACAAGTGTTTAATTGTGACGAGACAGGGCTATTCTGGAAAAGATTGCCAAAGAAAACATACATTACCAAGGAGGAGAAGTCATTGCCTGGACACAAGCCAATGAAAGATCGGTTTACTCTTGTGTTGTGTTGTAATGCGAGTGGCGATTTGACAGCTGAGGAAATTTCTTCAGGGGAGGATGTGCCAGTAGAAATTGTTTCTTCTTCAAAAATTAAGAAAATGTGTGCAATATGGAAAGAATTGCAAACCTTTGCTGAAACGACTCACCCAAATCAAGCTGCAGTAGGTCGTTGCCTTAATATATTCAATGACACTGTGATGCATCATTACAGACAAATGTTAAAAAGAAGGGAAAAACAAATGTCTCTTGACAAATTTGTAGTGAGACAAACAAGCACTGAACCACAACCAGGTCCTAGTGGTATTCAGGCAAAACGTAGGAGAGAGAGAGAGTACCCCAGAGAAAACATCACTGCCTGATGTTATAATGGAAGGGGACTCCCCTTCCAAACAGTAACAACTCTCTTCCTCCCCCCTCATCACCATCTTCCCTACGCTATCAAGAACCCTCCATAAAGGTAAGATCAACTTAGGCACTGTATTGTAGTTAGAAAAAAACATTGTATTCAGTATAAAATGTATTTGTATGTTAATATTTTGGAGGGTGGGGAACAGATTAATTCAAATCACTATTTCTTATGGGAAAAATCGCTTCGACTTACGATATTTCGACTTACGATCTGTCTCTGGGAACGGATTAGCATCGTAAGTCGAGGCCCCATTGTATATGTAACTGCTATTATTTAGTGATGATAGTATTACAGAAGACCCTGTCTGTGATAAAAATGACTAGGATTCTGATAATAGCAGGATTGTGGTGATAATTATTGCTGTGCAGAGTATAGTGGGAGGAGTAATCTTGGTGAAGCAGGGAGGTAGCATCATCTGCTGACTCTGTGTGGCAACCTGTTATTCTTTGAACTCACCATACCAGCTGAGTGATTTGCTATGGTGAACACAAATGTAGATATTTATATATAATGTGTGTATATATAGTGTAATAACAGCAAAAGGAGTATGTTGGGAGGAGCTATTTGGTGAGGGAGGAAGTGGCATGCTGTCGTCTGCTAGCTGCTGTGTCACTTGTCATGCAGTTTTGTGTTTTCACTATGTTATTTGGACACCATACCAGCTTAATTATACAGTTATTGTGAACAAAACGTGTATAATACTTATATAGTATAATATAAGTATAAT